GAGTTAACTGCTATAAATTTTGCAAAAACTAAAACTGCATCATTGCGCATTCATTCTTGCGTATGCAAAAACGTTCACGTTACATGGGTCAATTTAATCAGTTTATGGTAGGCCTCCCGATTATTGTATTGCAGTACTATTGCATGGTCTCAATAAATTATTGTCAGATTATTCAATGAACAATAAATTATTGCAATTGCTCTTATTTCAGCTGCAATAATTTATTTATTGCAATTATTGGTGGCTATTTTTTCGCTCAAATAATGTGTTTTGAAGAACATATTTTTCACAAAAGCTTGTCAACTGTAAACTTATTCCATAAATCTCTATTTACGAAAAGAAAAGTTATACTTTCAACCCGTAGAGGGGTCATGCTTTTCCGACAGTCCGAAAGAGTCAGTTTTGCTCGGCTGAAAAGACGTTCTGCTTTATTGGACGTCGGTGGGATCCAATTCAAGTCTTTGTAATGGATATTTAGTGAGTTTTCGGGAAAGTGAAGTTCTCGGTTTTCCATGATCACCCATTCCAGCCAAGCGAAGATGTTTTTTGCTTTATTGCTAATAATTGTTTCCACTCCGCTAGAAACTTCGGTTCGCCAAGTCGGGTGCGAGGAGTTAATATGGTTTTTCAAATTTGAGAACCCAGATCCTTTGGTTTGCTTTCTTATTCTTCCACATTTGCATTTGAAACGATCTTCCCCGATGCTTGTGAAGTAGAAGTCAATAACTGATTTGTTCATAGCTGGATGCTTTAAACGTGTTACACACGGCAAGAGAAGTATTGTGTTTGCTAACTTTTGCACGCTTGCACCGGATTGGCTCACCAAAGTTCCATAAATAATTCACTAGCCGTTGTTGGCTCGTCTTTATTTCTGAGAAATAGTGGTTATAATTTCTGCCAGTTATTTTTGTTGCAGCAATAAATAATTGCAATTGTTATTGTCAAAACAATCAATTATTGCAACTGTTCAGCTCAATAAATAAATAATTGCAAGTGGTTTATTGCAATAATTTTTGGGGCAATAAATAATTCGGGAGGCCTGGTTTATGGTCCTTACAAGTTCAATGAACCAACTAATTTTGACAAAAATAAACATCGAAAAGCGGTTTAAATCGACATAACTTGATATATAATTTTTTCAGTTTAGGGGCCTGAAAAACTCTTAATCGATATCAATGAATGGGATCTGCTTAACACAATCCCTCCCCCTATAAAGTAGATCCAATGAATGTTTTTAGCCACCAAATTTCACGCAATAGTGAACGAAATTGATTCAAACTAAGTTTATTGCTATCAAAATCTATATTAAAAAGCATCTCAACTGATCAATTTTAGTGTCTAAAAGTTCATTTCAGCGCTATTCGATCAAGCTAAGCCACCTGGATTTGGACAAAGTGCGTCGGAAAGATTTAATGAAAAAATACCAATGCTCGTATCAGGGCAAAACCTTCATAAAATACCAATTACCACTTCTTGAGTAGCTTTTAGTACATGAAACTTTGATACTTTGCTTATTTTTCGCCACAAGTGGCCATTCGCAATTTTCACGTGTTATAATTTGAGTCGTGTAGGAACCAATTTGAAGATTTAATTTGCCTCTTATCTGTTTGAAAATTTTTTGCGACGCTTAAAATTTTGCGCTTGCGCTTTCAATTTATCATCAACATCAAAATCCTTAAAGCACGCATAAAATGATCCAGAGTATGATAAAATTGACAGTATTATAATCCCAGATTTGCAAAATTTCATCGCAGGTAGAATTTTTCATATTTCAGGAATCAATTGATTCACTTTTTCATAAAGGCATGAAATTTTTTTTTATATGAAAAATCAATGTTTTTATCGGCAAAATTGGTTTGAAAAAACAACCTTGAACGTAAATGTTCCATTTTTCTTCAAAGGCTTTTAAAGAACTATCAATAACTCAGCATTTTAGATAGCAAATATGAACAAGACTGCTCGTATCAGGGCGAAGACTTGAATGTTCCGACTGCCTTTTGAGGTTTATGGAGCAGTGGTAACAAGAAAATTAAATGTAAAAAAATAAAATAAAAAAAAATTCTAAAATTTGAAATTTTTATGAAATCATCCCCCCACATGCCATATAAAGAGCAAAAGAGTAGATTTCACTCTTTGTTACAAATCAATTATGGCAAATAAGCTTCTTTCAAACAATTAGGAACAATTTCTAAGACGGATTAAATCTTCGCTTACGCGTTAATAGCGCGAGCGAAATAAATCGCGCGTTAATTGTCCCAAATGGGCCACAATGGAAATTTTTAAACCCCCATAACTTTAGGAAAAGTGAGGAATCGCCCATAACTCAGGACAACAATACCTTTCGAATAATAAAAAAAATTCCATCAAAAATGGCTAGTTAAAAAGTCGAAATTTGTCTGGAGAAAAAAAAACCCACCCCGAGCACAAATATTCCAATACTTTCGTATCGAAAGTCGGAACAAAAAAACATTAAACTGATAACAACTGGTTTGATCGAAACCTGGAATTTTTCAATGTACCCCAAGTTTTCAAACCTGAATTTAGCATTAAAAAATTTGAAATGGAATTGAGATCTGGTTTTGAGCTCAATATTTTTGGACTAAAAAGCTTGACTATTGTAATAATTAACGCATCATTTTTTTCAATTTTAAGCGATTTTTTTGAAACAATCAATCTCTGATATATAAAACAAGACTGCTCATAATAGGGCGAAGCCCTGATATTTCCGACTGCCTTTTAAGGTTTATGGAGCAGTAGTATTAAAAAAATTAAATGTAATAAAATATGATGAAGATTTTTTTTCTCCAAAATTTGACATTTGTTGTGAAAATCATCCCCCTACACGCCATGTAAACTACAAACGGATAAATTTTGCTCCTTTTAACAAATCAATTTTGACAAATAAGCTTCTTTCAACCAATTTGGAACGATTTCTATGACGGATTAAACATCCGCTTAAGCGTTAATAGCGCGAAAAATATCGCGCGTTAATTGTCCCAAATTGGCCAAAATGGCAATCTTTAAACCCCCGTAACTTTATGAAAAAAAATCACAGGTAAAATGTTTTTTTTTTCAAATTTGAGCTCGGGACAATAATACTTTTCGAATGATATAAAAAATCCCGTCAAAAATGGCTAGATTAAAAGTCGAATTTTGTCTGAAGAAAAAAACCCACCCCGAGCATAATTATTCCGTTATTTTTGTAGCGAAAGTCGGAACAATAAGAAATATGACACTCAGAGACAAAGCTGTGCTTCGCTAACAAAAGCGAGAGGACCACAAAAAACAGCTTTATTAGATGAAATGAGAAAAAGAAGAATTAAGCCTGGAATTAGAAAAACTTTGCTACGTATTGGCTTTGAACCTGCGGCCTCGAGAATTAGAGTCTCACACCCTGCCCTCATGGCATAGAACGCTTATCATTCGGCAAACAAGAGTCACAAATAAAGCAGCTATTTAAGCTAATAAGTTGCCAATGCGATGTAGCAAAAGTGGCAGCAAGTACAAATATTCACAATTTTGCAAGTAAAAATATGGAATATAACAAGCTGAAGGCATATAAACCAACTTTGCATGTAATTAACTGGAAATTATAAGGCCACTTTATGTATAAAATGTGCATTTCGAAAAATTGCGAGATATATTGAGCTAGAAAATTTCTGAAACTAATTAAGACCATTTATCCACGAGGCAAAGGACGAACATACGAGCTGTACAGCTCATCACCGCGAATCGCCGTTGTGCCCCTGATTAACTCATAATTAATCGAATGTCCAAGCACGTGCTATCAAAAATTCGTATAGGTGCAACAAAAGTTTTACCAAAAATTGCGACCAAAATTAGAAAAAAATCGTGCTATTACAATTACGCTCACTAAAGCTCGCATGTGTGAAAAACAGTTTAGCATTCATTTATTTTTTAAAAAATTCAACGGAAGTTGGGGAAGAGTTTCCCTTTTAATATTGGGGAAGATATTGACAAGTAGGTTTAGATATTCGATTTTTTGGCCAATCAGATTGCAGCAAAAATAGAGTTATCAATAGAAAGCTCTAGCGCCAACTTGCTGCTTTCTTTTACAAGGGTGGAAATTGTTCATCGCATACCATGGGGGAGATACTTAAATAGACCGATATTTCAATCGGTTTCGTTTTTTCGTTGGCAAAGTTTCAATGAGACTAACATAAATTGAAATTGAATCAATTTATATTTATTTGAAATGCATGAAAAATAGTTAAAATTTGAAAGACCAAAAGAGCAAAAAAGCGGAACCTACAACAATTGAGAGTCCATTCAGAGCAAAATTTTTAGCTATGTTATTAGATCGATTTAAATTGATTTCAAATTAATTCAAGTCCATAGTTTTTGACTATATCTTTCTTCTCACTAAATAGCTTTTAATTCATTTTTCTGAGTGAGTCGGCACAAAAACATGATTACAAGTTATATGACACTTTATTTTTAGGGAAGCCTAATTCAGGTCTTTCAAATCATATATGGCACCATAGCTGCGTGTAAAAACGCAAGGGTAAATTTCTTAGTTATAGTTTATGTCGTTTTGAAGGAGGCTTACAGCGCTCAGACTGAAAACAAAAATGAACCAAATGTGCGTTTATATGCCAATTTTAACATAAGCCAACATCCCGTTTAGTCAAAAACAGCAAATTTCAAAACGCTTTTTTGAACGAATATTCCTTTTGCTTGTTCTAACGCTGATGTTAAATAAATCACTGTGTTTGAAAATTTATACATTTTTTGTATTAGATATATATATCGCTTGAACGGCGAACTTAAAACCGGGACAAAATGGCAGGGAAATGATATTGAAAAACAGTTTTTTAAAGAGACTTTTTGCTGCATCTTTATCAGGAAAAGAGCAAAAATGCACGTAAAAGCAGAAAACGCCAATGGACACAAGCATGAATAAGAAATTATTCATGCTAAAAAACCAAGTAAGAAAAATCGCCATCCTTACTTACATTTTCTAAACAAAAGGACACCAATATAAAACTGAATGCACATTAAATATAGCATATATAAAGAGTACCAAACGTTTATTTCTCAAGCTAAGTACACATTTGGTACAATATACCAACCGATTATTTGATTGTAGTTGAACATGTTTCAGCTTATTTTATGGTTGGAATGTAGTACTAAAACCGTTCGCTTGATCAAACATTATTGTTATAGTCACTTAATCAAGGTTGATTTGTAAGTTTGCTACTGACATAACAGGTACATTACTTACCAATTACTTCGCATGTCATAATCATTTATTTCTCGCAAAATTTGACAAAATTTAAATGTTAATTTATCCTTCATTTTTAAACGAGTTCAAAGTAGAGAAACATATTTGCATCTTTTTATTTGAATAATTATTTTACTTCAAATTAGCCAACAGGTCACTGAAGTTAAACACTTGCGTTATTTATAACTTTTACAATTTTAAACGGTTTGTTTGTTTTAACAGTTTTTTTTTGTTTTTATGAAGAAAAAATCCGATTTTTATTGAACCAAAAGTTTTATTTTTGTTTTTACAGGAGTTTTCGTTTTTATCACGAAAAACCCCTATTTTAAATTAAACTTCTTGATTTAGATTCTCTTTTCTTCGTTAAATAAAAAAATTGCTCTTTATTATTTACAGCGACACGTCTGAGCAGGGGCGGATCTAGGATTTTCTCGAGGGGGGGGGGGGGGGCGAATTTTCAAAAAATTTTCCAAAATTTTGACGACTTTTTTTTTAGGTCGACCAAATTGATATTTCAAGCTCTCCCAAAGCACTGTTATGCCCTTATTTTGGCGAAATTTTCTGCGCGGCAGGCAAATTTTTGAAAAAACAGTCAATAAAGCCGTTTTTGGGCACTTTTTGAAAAATTTTGACAAAAAAATTGCGTTTTTTTTAGCGCGCGCTCCCCCTCAAAGTTAGTATATATTGGCGCCCAAGGCGCCTTTAGAAAAACTTTAGGGTCGGTCGGTAAAGTTGTAAAAAAGAAAAGTTGCGAGATAAGAGTTATTCAATAATATGCTTTCCAATGAACTTTTCTTGCTGTTTTTTTTGATAAAGAGGATTCAAAATTTTTGTGCTGCTGCAAAAACTATTCGAACCCAATTCATGGAAAAATTTGTCTTTACCATAGATTGTCTTCTGTTTTCTTTTGAGAAACTTGCACCCTAGAGACAAGAGTCTGTTTTTCTGGCTTTCGATAAAAATTATGGAAAATTTGTGCTTTTTACCCAGGCTGCTAAACAAAGCTCAAATTTTCAACCAAGAAAAATCGACGGAGTTTCTTAGCCATTCAAAAAAATTAATGACTTGAGCTCAAATTTCAGACAAATTGTTCATCTGGGGATCTTTTTGTAAACTTATGTCCAATATGCGTCGAATACAGTGCTGATGTAAATTTTGAAATTTAAAACACACTTTTCTTAAATTTTCTGATTTTAGACAAAAAATGACGAAGACAAAATTTGCCTAAAATTATAGCAAAATTGTTATGGTGCAATTTGTTTTGCAATTTTCGGGCCCAAAAATTTACCCAAAAAAATCGATCTTTTTAGATTTTTTTAGTCAGTTGAAGATTACACCGAAACTACGAATCAATTATTGTCAAACTGACAATTATTGTCAAACTGAAGTGAGCCTTTTACGTTGCCCAATAAAGTTTCGAAGGGTATATTCGCCAAAACATTGTAAAATTTATTTTTTTTGTTTGGATGCCAAAAATTTCATTTTTATTAAATAAAAAACCAACATTTTATTTAAACAATTCTTTTTGGATGCTAAACTCTTCCTGAACTTTATTGGGCCATGCAAGAGGCTTGTGTTGATATAATTTTTGACAGTAATTGATTTCGTAGATTTAGTGCAATTTTTAATTGAATGAAAAGTCTAAAATGATCCTTTTTGGGGTAAAAATTTGGGCCTGAAATTCGCAAATCAAGAAAAATCAAATTTGAGAAAAATGCATTTTCATTATCTTTTTTTTTTGCATTTTGACCGTATAATTTAAATCAGCACATTCCATTTCTAAAAACATTCATTTTTAACTTGAAATATTCATCAAAATTGTAGTTTGATTAGCACTTTTTAAACAGATAAACATATACAAATACCACGATTTTTGCAAAAAAAGCGGTAATTAACTCTGTAATTTCAATCAAAATGTGTCAACTATAATCTACGCACGCTAAAGATTAACGTTGTTTAATGCTAAAGTTCACACGCAAAAATGCGGCAATCATTATCGCCATTGTTATATTCAAAAACCATAATTTAGAAAATTTGTGAAACGTTTTCTGTAAGTTTCTTAAATTTTTTCTTAATTGGGTTGAAGGATATGGAAAAATCTAAGATGCAGTAGAACCTAGAAAATGTAGTAATGATTGAAAGATTTTATCTTAACTTTTTAAATCTTAAAGACACACAGCTTTCTCTACTATCAGACAACTTTTATTAAAACCGCACCGTCAAAAAATTTGATAATTGCTTATAGGCAATTTCACATGGGCAAATTAACACTTAAACGCTCTCAAAGAATGAGGGATTGTATCCGTTTGGTTATATATTTTTTCGAGCCTGCATAGAAAAGGAGCAAAAAAAACAAATGGGCTTGGAAATTTAGACCAAAAGCAAGTCAGCATAAAAATAATTAACAAATTGAATTAAAAAATGAGCAAATACTAAGCCTTTAAAGCTTTATGGGGTAGACATTGCCGCTAATTCCCGTTGCTTTTGCTGAAAATAACTGACGTAAAGTAAGACTTTTAAAAATTAATTGTAGACTCAATTTCCCATTTTGTTTGTTAAATAAATTTAATCTCCATTTCATTTTCATCAGATAAACAGAACCAACTATCGTCACAATTTCCGGTCCCCCAAAAAACTGCATTCAAGAACTGAAACAATGATTGACTATGAATTTATCGGATAACATCGTCATAAGAATTCGTAATATCTGCAGCATTATTGCATTTTTATTCTCTAGTCATCATAACAAAAAATGACGTACATTCTTTTAACTACAAAAAATACTCACTTAATCATTGTAATACAATTTTTAAACAAATCTTTTACCGTCATTACACACGTCACTTGAAGCTGACTTAATTTTGGCATCTACTTTCAGTAACCGGATCCAACTTTCGAAGACTTGAGCATTTACGAGCGACCTGCTTTATCTGGTTTGTTAGCTGGGTCCAGTGCTAGTAGTGGTGACATGGTTTCTGGACTGGCCTATGATTCTAATAAATCTCAAAGACCGCCGAACTCAGCCGACGAACCTGATCTATTCCTGAGACCTTATGCACAGGACGACTTGATTTCATTGCGCAGGTTGGCTTTTTTTAAATAATTGATTTTACTATTAAATATATTTGCAAGTTGCGATCATGTAAGCGGACGTTTTAATCACTCAATGATTTGACCCCCCCCCCCTTGGCCGCCCAAAGGGAACTCTGAAAGTGACAGGGAGGTCAATACCCCGAGGAAATAAAGTGTTTGCGTGTTTGACCTCTAACTGCAGACCTCTTAAATAAATGTGTCATTTTGGGCTAACTAAAATCTTTTTCGCTCAAAAAAGCTGGTCGGCCTAAAAGAAGATCGATGAAACTTTTTGAAACTTCTGTAAAAAGCTCTTGTCAATTTTGCTTTTGTAATATCTTACATAATTTGCCTCTTGTAATAATTTGGCCTAGTCTCTATAGGTTAATTTCTGTGTCGCTCCACTCAAAACAGTCTTACGAACTTAGTTGACTATTTTCTTCATAGTTGACATAACAGCTGAAGTTATGAATGTCTAAAATGACCAGATTGTGAAATTGACTAAACCGCTGAAAACTAACGCTCGCAAAAAGTCAAACTCAGAGCCAATATACCAACACTTTTCTCGAAAAATACAAAAAGAAAATAAAGGTTGAGAGAAATTCTCTTTTATTAATGTTTAATAAACTGTTTTAGTGAGGACGAAATGGCGGGTGTCATGAATGGGGGGATGGGAGGGGACGGGGTAGGGGGTGGGGGTGAGAACGATCTGTTACGCCCCATCTTCGACGCCATAGACACTGAAGGGAGGGACTTCATCACCCTGGACAAGTTCTTCGAGGAGATGGATAGATATTCCAACACGCCAATGAGTGCCAACAAAAAAGTGAGATTTCCTTGATAATACTGATTCCTTAATCGTTTTGAAAACTGGCTCTTTAAAACCGTAGATGGAACTCAATAAGGAAATTTTCTGGACGTTCTCACGCCATTATCATCTTTTATAGCTAGTTTGGGTTTTCTTTCGGTTATACCCCTAAACGATAACTAAACGATAAAAAATTTAAAGGAAAATTTGTCTTACAAAGGTGAACTGATTTTACTTAAAATACAGGGCTGATACTCCGATTATTAAATCAAGCTAATAAAAGGCAAAAAGTGCGAATTTAATGACAATTTTAAACGCATTTGGCATCCTTTTAATGAAAATTATGCGCAGAAAACTCGCAAAAATTGGATAAAAAATGGAGAAAAAGTCAATTTAATGCTTAATTAACTAAAAATGTTTAGTTTTTACCAGTCCCATAAAAAATTTTACGTTTCCTTTTAACAGTTTCCCAATTATATTGTAAAAACCTTCAATTCAATTTTTCATCATTTAGAGTGTATAACCGAAGACAGGGGCGGATTTAAGAGAGGAGGGGGTCCCTCCTCTGTACTAATTTGAGATATCCATTTTCAGCTGACGGACCCTAAAAATTTTCTAAATACGTCTTTGACGCCAGTATATACTAATTTTTAGAGGGAGTACGGGCCAAAAAAAAACAAAATTTTGGGTAAAAATTTTCCGAAAAATACCTTAAAACGCTATTTTGGCTTTTTTCAAAATTTTAAAGCTTTGAGAGTGCTTGAAAAATCTATTTAGTCAACCTAAAAAAAGGCTGACAAAATTTTCGAGAGAAAATCCTAGATCCACCACTTACCAAAAAGACTCGCTAATTTTTTAGAAATCCATTTATCGCATGTATTTAACAAATAACTATAAATGTGATTGTTGGAGCTCTAAAAAGCATCTTAAAAAAGGAACGCGTCCCTTAAAAATATAAAATTAATCATAAAAACAATAAATTGTTTTCAAAAGAAAAACATTACCAGAACGGAATTACAAATAAAGAAATCACAGAAACGTTACTTAAGACAGCGCCTAGATTAAGCGCCTAGATAAATTTAGATTCAACTTGTTTTTAGGCGTTTCAGAGCGAGAATTTAAAACAGTTTTTTAGTACCCTTGTAGATAAAGGAAATTAACATTTGGAATGAGAGTCCAACTTGCTCACAAAAGATGAAAGGAGAAAAATTTTACCGTGGGGTCTCGTCATTAAAAGTTTTTATCATTTCTACAAATTAGAGGAAAAAAAGCAAGTTGTCAAAGAGGATACAAGTTCTAGCAATAATGGATAGCTTTGTTGCAATTTAGTTTGTAATGCGATAGTTCTTGCTATATTTTTTTCAGTTGAAGTTTTTTGTTGCATTTTTTAGTAATTACATTTTGAAAAATTCAGATCCGTATTCACTACTTATTACTTTGCTCAAACGTTTTAGCATTTCAATAGTGTGTTATTCTTTAACAGTGAAATACTTATATTGTTGTCGTTTGTCTTTGATTGGTTCAAATTTTTTTTGTGATATGGTTTTTATAAGACGTTTCAGCAGCATTTTTAGATGTTCTTGTTTGGTTCTATCAGTTGATACGTAAACGAGGACTCCATATTGCAAAAATAGGTGAACATAATTATTGTATGCCAAAAGAAGCTGTTTTTGGCCAAAGTTTTTTAGTCTATAATTTTTGACTGTTGATTTTTTATCAATAACTTTTCCAAGATAACTAAATTTTTTGAGTTTTTCTATTCGCTGGCAATATATTGTTGTGTCCCTAGAAAGTTTAGCAGCTGATTTTATACCAAAAACCACAGTTTTAGTCTTTATTAGTTAAGTGTTAAGGGTTTGTTTAGTGCTTGCTAAACAAAATTAGTTTCGTTTAGAAGTTGTTTTTATGACTGTATCATCAGCATGTAGTAAGATGTTGCTACCTTGTTGAGGACTTTTGTTTTTTCTCCATCATTCAAATAGAATGAATAGAAGTGCGCCCAATAATGATCCCCGTGGGATATCAAAATCAATTCCTTCTACTTTTGATTTTTTTTCACGATATATATATATAATGTTTTCTGTTTGCTAAACACGATTTCAATAAACTAAAAATAGGCCTTCTAAGTCCATATGACTTGCATTTATCCAGCAAAATATTATGGTCAATCGTGTCAATAACTTTATTCAGGTCTTTGAACGTGCACTGTGATAAGATGGAATAATCAATCCAGTGAAACCTAATTTGTCAATCAGCGATACAAGAGCATCAATAGTGCCACGTTTCGATCTGAACCCAAATTGATTTTGATTTCTTAGCAAATTCATTATAAGCATTTTTTATATCTGCTTTTCAGTTTTTAACTATAATATTGAAAATGCAAGCATGTCTTGCTACATAAATTCCTTAGTTGGAGGCCCTAAAAAAATTACTGTAAAAAATTCTTTTCATAAGGTTAGAAGGTCCATAAAAAAAATTTTCAAGGGACCCATCTAAAATTTCCAGTAAAACTGCTTTTAAACTGTTATAAAGGATGGCCTTAAATTCATCCTACATCGAAGTCATTTTGTGAAATAATATAGGACAACAATTTTGCCTCCTTGATCCACTGAAATGTTATAATTTAATTTAAAAAACTACCTTCAAAGCGAATATTTAAATAAATTAAAAGTTTATGAGACATGCATTTTAATCATTTCAGGAAAGACTTCAGAAGACTCTGGACCCCGACAACCAGGGCATAGTCACCTACCCAAATTTCGTCACTGGAGTCCTCATGTTCAGACTAGGTTTGTCCCATCTATTTTGACTATTTTGTCCGATCTGTTTTGTCCAATCTCTTTGTCCGATCTAGGTTTGTCCAATCTATTTGTCCGATCTAGGTTTGTCCGAAAATGTTTGTCCGATCCCCCCTCCATGGTATCTCCTAGAAAAGAATCTACAAATAAAAATAATCAAAGATCACTAGAGCTACTGGTTGGTCGAAAATTCACGGGTTTACTCTGTCTTTCGTGCATAATACGCAGCGGCGGATTTGCGAGATAGTATGCAAAACCAAAACCACTTTAGAAGTTCTACCTTTCTGAGCAGGCTTCTAATCCCTGCTGAAATGGTTTTTAGTTTGATACTATTTTTGTTAAGCTATTTTAAAGCAAACAGTCCAAAAATTTTACGAAAAAAGTTTCCTGTCGAACTTTTCGGGAGCTTCGACGGTGAAATTTAGACCATCAAGAAATTATGTACTACAGATTATGATAAAAAAATATGATACAAATTATGATAAAAATTTTTCTCTGATTTTTATGCGTAATGGCTTGGAATGTTCTAGAAGAAAATAATGACGCCATGTCAGCGGAGGAGGCTGGGTATGAACAACTTGTGAATGAGTGGACAACAGTCGATCAAAATTCAGACGAATTATCCAATGTAAGCTGGAAAAAGAATAGCTTCATTATTCGTCATTTTCGCTGCGCAAATATAAAAGTTTGGTTTGTGCGAACTTTTTTGGCAAAACATTGTTGTGTTTTAAAGCTCAGCTCATAAGGCCCACAAAATGATCAAATTTTTTTTGAAAATTCGCCCCTTGCTAAAATTGTAATGTTTGCACCTAAAAAAAACCATTATTTTCATCTGATATCCAATTTTTTCACGTGAACACCATTTTTTTTTCACTTGAAATTCGTAAATTAGGCTGCAACTAACTGGTCCACACATGGGGATCTGGAATCGCCAGAGGATCTGCTGGGAACTGAGTTCGAGAACACCCTTACCGCCAAAAACTCCCAACAGTCAGGGGGACCATTCAAGGGAATCAAAAAGAGCCACTCCATCAATGACAGGTTCAAAGGGTATGTTATTTACATAAATCTAATCTTCGAGATACCCCCCTCCCACCCCACACACACGCAAACAGCCGAATAATTGCTTTTAAAACCGACCTGACTTTTGAGGAACGAAAACAGAAGGTTTTTATTTTAAGAGGACTAAAATATTTTGGAAATTGACTATTAAACTTTATCAAAGCTTTAGCTTAGTTCAAAATTTTTCAACCGGCAAAAATTCGAAGAAACCTCTACTATAAAAAATTGAAAACTGCGATTTAAAGCAGACGACTAACGCTTTTAACGCTTCAAACTTTTAACTATTATTTAAAAAATTTTAAATGATTAAATAATTGCACAAGAATTAACAAAAAACAGACTGTTAACAAATATGAAAAGTGTTTCGATCGACAGCAGAGCTTTTGAACCTCTGATGCTATCTAATCATCGATTTCTCGATCAGTTCAGCTTTTGTTTTACTCCTTTTGTTGGTACTATTTGGTATGATTTTTCACAAAAAGCTCAAAAATTAATCATTGATCGAAAAACAACGAGACTCATTCTCGGTCAATCGGCAGTTTATATCCGTTTATAGGTCAAACTCTAACAAAAATTGTGATAAATTATTTTCGAGCAAATTCTTTGTGGAAAATTAATAAATTTACAAACCATACCAACAATTGTGCTGGCTAGAAGAGCACCATTGGACCTACACGTCCGTTCACAGGTGTCTCAAATTTTTTTGCAGTTGAGAATTATTTTATGGAAGAAATCAAAACAAATGTTAAGTAGCATGTGGGTGAATGGCATAGGGATGATTTATTTTACAAAAATTTTATTGTCTTCATTAAGACAATTGTCAAAAAATTTAAGATTGAATAGCCTCTGGTACCTCTATTATACTTTCAATTTAATGAGCCCGCAAACCAAAAACGACGCCTTTCAAAACATTGCCATCAAAACTGGGAGTTTTTTTCCAAATGAAGAATCACTGAGTGTATCGCAGAGAAAAAAAAATTAACTATCTGACCGCCTAAAAAGCCGATAAATAATCGAGCAATTTTGAAAAAATAATTACAAATGAAGTTTTACAAAATTAACTGGGACATCAAGTGCTTAAATGGATCTTCAAAAGATGCTATTAAAAAATGATGAAAATGATATTGCAATTTACACCCTACAGGATTTCTTTGAGAGACTCAAAATTGGCTCCAAAACATTCCCTTTTTGTAGTAGTTTGAACAAGATTTTACAAGGGTTTGCTTGAGATTTTACTAAACGAAACAAATTTGGGTCTGGATGATTATTCCACAAATCAAATTTCATCATAACAGGAAGGCGTGACAAAATTAGTCCTAGCAGATATTCACCAGTAAAAATCACAGATTTTGTTGTATCGAAAAAGAGGAAAAGAATCCGAAAAAGGAAAAAGAGGATAAAGCATAGATAAGGCAGTAATTTATTTTATGGAAACAAAATTGGAAAAATTAAAGCCTTTGTCTCAAAACTGAATGATTTTAATTCAGAAACGATGGAAAAATTGCTAAAATGTTTGCTAGATTTGGTTCGATGCAATTAGTTTTATAAAATTTGGCTGAAATGATTAGCAAAACTTGGCTTAACTGTTTGCTTAAGAATTTTGCAAAGTAAATTACATTCAATTATTCCAATCACAATTTTGGGCAAAGTTTGTTTTCATTATTTTTTTTCAGTCTGAAATCAACCTTTTTTTGGAAATTGTACGTTCAAATTTTCCTATTCCTTTTGCCTTTTCCGCAGATTTTTAATCAGCTTTGTATTTGTGCCACAACAATTTCAACAAATGTTGGTAGTGGAAGTGCTGAATTTTTTTCCGGTTGTTGATTGGCATAACTTCACGAGAAAATGATTTACTAGAAAATTTTGCTATCAGAAGGTATTTCTCTTTTGATGCTCTCTTATTGCATTAATTTTGTTGCAAATTAAAAAAGTAATTTTAAAGAATTTGATGAATATTTTCCATGCTAAAAACTAATTGGATGCTTCAACGGACAATCATGAAACTCAAAAACTTCAAAAACTTAACCATGGAATAAGCAGTTTTTTAATGTCAGATAAATTGTGCCGACGAATTACAGTCTTTCTTCAAGAAACATATATTCGAGCTCTTTCATTGAGAACGTTTTACTAAATCATATAAAAGCGCATGCGATCAGTTAAGCAGCCCAGTAACTCATAACGCATTCAATTCAGGCCGCTTAGTGGGTCCTGTATTTTTCACTAGAATCCAAGTAAACAAGGATAACTTATTGCTGTGCAAATAGCACAGAAACTTCCGACCATATTCATTAGAAAAGCTTTGAAAAATCTTTAAAGTTTTTTTTCTTTTGTTTTCTTCAAATTAGTGTCGTTTTTAGTCTTTCTCCAAAAAAAAATTCGAGTTCTTCCAAAATCATGTAAAAGTGCAAGCAGTCAGTTAAGAAGAAACGCAAACGCGTGGAAAGTTATTGAATTAGGCAAAATTGAAAAAAAAATGAATAACAAACTAAATCATTTGTAAGCCTGCTCGCTCGACATTAACAAAAAAATCAATCAAAATTGTATGCCTGTTTTTTTTTGATACCGGGACAACTTTTTCAATTTTTTTAATGTGGCTCGTGTCAAAACTGAAAAATGTTTAATATGATTTTACACTCAAACCAGTTTGATGATTATTTGTGGCACCTAATTTTGCAAGAAAAACAAAAAAAACATTCGAATACAAAGTTCCACCCCATTTTCAAGGGTCGGATACGTTAGTAATCTTCAAATTACAATTATTTGCAATTCATATTAAAAGTGGACAAAAAAGCAAGAGACAACTGATCGAACATTGATCCAATATCCGATGAAAAAAAAACGGAACATTTTTGGGAGCCGCGGTTTTTCCCCAGATAAATTTCAGACATCAAAATAACAGATTCCACAGAATTTTCTATACGATCTTAAGAAATATCAATCTCTTGACTTAAAATCAGGGAAAAAAATCAAACTCAACCTTCCCTCACGTGTCACTTTCTGTAATTCTAATTTTCGTTCTAACTTCTGTTCGAACTAGACCAATTGTCATGAAATTTGGCATGTATCTTCAATACTTAACCCTAGACATTTTTTATAATATCTTAGCAATGTCACTTGATAATTATGTACATACTATTTTTAGGATAAAATTGTTTTAATTGAGAGGTTTACCAATTAAATTGCATCAAACTTGTTCAAACACAAATTTGAGCACCTTTTGTTCGTATCAATAATCTTTTGTAAGTCAAGCCAAATTCAGAAACATGCTTTCAAAGTTTTCTTTTTTGTTCATTTTGACTATAGCAAATAAATCAGCACTGTAGTACTACTACAAATACTTCAATAAAACTAGATATATGGATCTGTTGAATTGTTTTTTTTGCAAGTGTTGATTGGCGGAACAGCACACGAAATTGTCATAGGGTAACAAATTAGTTCTATCAGGAGATAGTTTTTTTTTGCTTTCATCTCATAGCAAGAATTTTTTTGCAAATTAACAAATTTTCTTTTCAAAAGTTGTAGAACAATTTTTCCGAGCTTTTCCACTAAACGAGCAGTCTTCTTTTTTTTCAAATATGTTTTGTTTTACAAATTATAGTTTTTATTGGGAAGAAATATTGATTGGTTTTTTTCGATTGAAAGGGTTTTAATTATTCAGGTTGTAAAAAAGTAAAGCAGCCAGTTAATCAGCCCAGTAATTCATTCCACATTGAATTAGGGCCAGCTAATTGATCCCTTCAATTTCTCACTAGACTCAAAATAATTAACATAAACTCCAAACTATTTGCCAATCTAGACGTTTCTTTTTTCAGTGAGGCTAGTTTCAAGGAAAATTTTGATGATTAAATTGAGTGTCAATGAAAAAAAAGTTTTTGAAAGGACTTCAGCGATTGGTCGGAATGCTTAAGGCTTTACCTTGATGTTTGCCTCTCTTTGCAATTTTATTTCAAGTCAAAGAATAGTTTTGAAAGAGATTTGGATAAATTTTTCCAAATTCAGATGGAATAAAACGGAATATTTGTGTTAGTTGGGGCTCTTTCGAAACAACATTTTTCTTCAGTTTTTCGAAACAATATTTTTGACATTTTTGAGTATTGTATTTGACCTTAAAATATCAACGTCCTGGCTTCAGCTTCAAAAATGAAAATTAAATTGTTTCAATATCCTTTTTTTTATTTCGAATTTTAAGATTTTACTTTGAATTTTATGTGGAATTAAAATTTGCTAAATTTGGCCAAGTTGCTCCAATTAAGGTAAATTTTTTTAACGTCACGGTTTCACAATTTTTTTGAAAAAATTCGCTTGCTTTAATTAAGAATAGTTAAAATATTCATGACTTTGTCCTGATACGAGCGTTTTTGTTGTCCAGTTAAATTAACAGTTTATGGCGCGTTTTCATGAATCAGTTTAGTAAACTGAAGCTAAAGAATAAATTTGGTAGTTTTGATTTAATTCTTTTGAAGCAGACAAGATCTTCCCTATTCCGCCCACAATGGTCATCAACCCAGAAGAGCAGTGACCCCCGGCGGGGCCATCGGAGGGGGAGGGGGAGGGGAGAGGGGGGATCGAAGTCAAAGTAGGACACTGCAGAGTGACCCCCTGTTTGACCCGGAAGAAGAAGTCTACTCCACCTATTCAGACTTGGACAACAACGACGACGCTCTGTCAACTAGCAGTGCCAACAACCCACACTATACTAACACATCCTATCGGTGAGGACAATGTTAATAATAAACATAATAAACTGTTTTCAGGCTAACATACCAATATTGATTGTTATAAAAGCGCATTTGATTACAATCAAGAAACTTTAGCTTGAGAGATAGTCATGACTCATAAAACTTTCTGGTCCGTTTGCAGATTTTTCGTTGTCCTCGATCATAGTTGCCCTTTTTCAACTTGCTCTGTCGTATTCATATCTGCCCTAGTTGACGAAGACTGAAAAGCTTTAGAAGATCTCGCAAGATAGCCTATTTTGAAGCACGCAGTCTTCCAAGATGTTTTATATTTTGAGGATTTTGTAATTGTCTAATCTTTCAAACCTTGCTTCAAAACCGTGTAAACAATATTTGAACAAAACTGATGAACAATTTAGTCAAACGGTAACAGTTGGGACTCAAACCCATATCTCTAAGGGTCATTAGATCCGGCGCTTTTACCAAATGATCACACCGCTTTGACAAAGCTTGGTTCAATATTTATATACCGTTGCAAGGAAAAGTATGGCCAATCGTGTACCAGCAATTTTAATAGTCTAAGACGTTAAGTTCTGACCTCGGATACCAATGTTGTGGCTGTTACAAAATGAGTTGACAAAACAGTTATAAATTTTTGTGCAATCTATTATTCAAGACGGAGTTTTAATATATGATACTTCTAACCAATGTGTCTTGAAACAACTGGATAATGATCTCAAGAGACTATAGAGAATAATTTTATTAGACGTAGTTTCGAATTAATATGACTAGCACGGGAAACAAAAAAAATAGTCAAAAACTGTTCTGAGAGATTTTTAAAAAAATTTAGAGTTGTATAAAAATCACAAAATCATATTTTTTTTGGGCATGCTCACGCCTCCATAACCCGAATAAAGTGGTAGCAGACACGTGTTTAGAAAATTTCTAAGAACTCATGGCCGAGAAGGGATACTGTAAGATGTCAAGGGATAGTCAGGGTCAAAATCATTATCCCTGACTAGCCTGACTGCAGTTTGTTTTACCGGAAAAAGATAGATATCACTAGATAGAATAGATACCAAAGATGCTGTGGATATAAACGAGATCAAACTTTTTTTCATAATTTTTGTGGTTTGATTTTTGATTTTTTAATCTAGGGAAAGCTCAGACAACTCACTATGAAGCTAAAAGGAAATTTTTTTTGAAACATTTTTTTTACAATCTTTGGTATTTTTATCACAATTCGAAATTCACAGCGGTGTTGACGAATTCAAATCAATGTTTGCAAAGTCGGTGATTCTTATAAAAAAACACGAGTATTTTTTTGACATGTTAAAAAGGTTGAATAGCATTTAATTAGCACTTTCACAGGCAGTGTGCATGCTTGAAGTACTACTTTACATCAAATAAGTTAGTTCACAATAAAATGACTTTCATATGAAATTAAAAATTCTGTAGGAAAACAAACATAACCGATCGCTGCGCAAATAGCTCAAAACATTCTGACCACATTCTAGAAAGTTTTTTTTTCAAGTTTCGGTGATTGTAGTTCAGTCTGTCAAGTTTATGATGATTTCTTCTGCAAAAAAGTGTTAAAGTTTATTTAACTGAAGCAAGTTTAGACTTTTGTGGTCTAATTTCTGCTAAGTTTAGTTCAACTCTTCGGTTCATGATTGGTTTTTCAATTTCGAGAGTGGGTGTTACTTTTCAGATTTTCCAGCTGAATGTAAACTTAATCTATTGATCCAGTTTTCTGAACTTGAATTAATTTTCTCAAAAGATGTCAACCTTCGTTTGTTTTTTGAAAAAGAAAAGCTTCAAAGGCATATTTTTTCTCATTGAAATTCAAAGTTTATTCAAAAATCAAGTCAGTTTTTTTTTTCTGTTTTATTGCATTGTTTGACCTTTTTTTAAAGTGACAAAAGCTGGGAAGATAAGTAGCTTAGTTAAAATTGAAAAATGAACAAAAATTTTCTCTAGGTTTTTCAGAATTTTCTGGCAAAAAATCAGTTTGTGGAACTTTGAATGAATTTCAAAGAATAAAATTAAATTTTTGACGGCCTAAAATAAATCTTTTTGCTCTATTAAAACCACTACTTGCTCTCTTTCTTTGCACAAAAAAAATTGACATTTTTTAAAGTTCGAATCTTAAATAGAAAAGGGTTTTATATAAAATAACCTTCAAGCCATTCTGATGGTTATTTAGAAAACATCAACTTTTGTGGAAAAAAGTACTTTAACAAATGAAAAACGCCCAAAGACAATTTTCCTTCCCACTTCCAGTTGTTGTTTTGTTTTTTATTTCCATTGAGTGCATTTAATTTTTAAAATATTGCCGAATAAATCTTATTTGTTCACGTACAAGACAAATTGAAAATTGCCAAAAACTAATTTTACTCAGTTTTACCTGAAATTTATGGTCAAACATAAATACTCATGAACTACTGACTAGTTTTCAGATTTGATTTTTTCAAGACAAATTTGTCCTTCAAAATTATCAACAGTTTCAGATCATTGAAAACAAAAAAAAACTTTACTTGGGTTTGACCTACAAAATTTACAATTCATTTGTTATTGAAAAAGTAAATAAAAATTAAGATTTTAAACAGAATGAAAAGAAATTATTTTTTTTATATACCATTTATATACCATTGCAAGGAAGAAGTATGGTCAATCGTATACAAGCAATTTTAACAGTGTAATACGTTAAGTTTTGAATGATTGTTTAAAAAATTTCTAAGAACTCATGGCCGAGAATGGATACTGTAAAGTGTCAAGGGCTAGTCAGGGTCAAAATCATTATCCCTGACTAGCCTGACTGCAGTTTGTTTTACCGGAAAAAGATAGATATCACTAGATAGAATAGATACCAAAGATGCTGTGGATATAAACGAGATCAAACTTTTTTTCATAATTTTTGTGGTTTGATTTTTGATTTTTTAATCTAGGGAAAGCTCAGACAACTCACTATGAAGCTAAAAGGAAATTTTTTTTGAAACATTTTTTTTACAATCTTTGGTATTTTTATCACAATTCGAAATTCACAGCGGTGTTGACGAATTCAAATCAATGTTTGCAAAGTCGGTGATTCTTATAAAAAAACACGAGTATTTTTTTGACATGTTAAAAAGGTTGAATAGCATTTAATTAGCACTTTCACAGGCAGTGTGCATGCTTGAAGTACTACTTTACATCAAATAAGTTAGTTCACAATAAAATGACTTTCATATGAAAATAAAAATTCTGTAGGAAAACAAACATAACCGATCGCTGCGCAAATAGCTCAAAACATTCTGACCACATTCTAGAAAGTTTTTTGTTTCAAGTTTCGGTGATTGTAGTTCAGTCTGTCAAGTTTATGATGATTTCTTCTGCAAAAAAGTGTTAAAGTTTATTCAACTGAAGCAAGTTTAGACTCTTGTGGTCTAATTTCTGCTAAGTTTAGTTCAACTCTTCTGTTCATGATTGGTTTTTCAATTTCGAGAGTGGGTGTTACTTTTCAGATTTTCCAGCTGAATGTAAACTTAATCTTTTGATCCGGTTTTCTCAACTTGAATTAATTTTCTCAAAAGATGTCAACCTTAGTTTGTTTTTTGAAAAACGAAAACTTTCAAAGGCATATTTTTTCTCATTGAAATTCGAAGTTTATTCAAAAGTCAAGTCAGTTTTTTTTTCTGTTTCATTGCATTGTTTGACCTTTTTTTAAAGTGACAAAAGCTAGGAAGATAAGTAGCTTAGTTAAAATTGAAAAATGAACAAAAATTTTCTCTAGGTTTTTCAGAATTTTCTGGCAAAAAATCAGTTTGTGGAACTTTGAATGAATTTCAAAGAATAAAATTAAGTTTTTGACGGCCTAAAATAAATCTTTTTGCTCTATTAAAATCACTACTTGCTCTCTTTCTTTGCACAAAAAAAATTGACATTTTTTAATGTTCGAATCTTAAATAGAAAAGGGTTTTATATAAAATAACCTCCAAGCCATTCTGATGGTTATTTAAAAAACATCAACTTTTGTGAAAAAAAGTACTTTAACAAATGAAAAACGCCCAAAGACAATTTTCCTTCCCACTTCCACTTGTCGTTTTGTTTTTTATTTCTATTGAGTGCATTTAATTTTTAAAATATTGCCGAATAAATCTTATTTGTTCACGTACAAGACAAATTGAAAATTGCCAAAAACTAATTTTACTCAGTTTTACCTGAAATTTATGGTCAAACATAAATACTCATGAACTACTGACTAGTTTTCAGATTTGATTTTTTCAAGACAAATTTAACCTTCAATTCAGATCATTGAAAACAAAAGAAAACTTTATTCGGGTTTGACCAACAAAACTTACAATTCATTTGTTATTGAAAAAGTAAATAAAAATTAAGATTTTAAACAGACTGAAAAGAAATTATTTTTTTTTCATACAAAAAAAAATCATGCTTATACAAAGCATTTTAATGTATCAGATGCAAATTACTTGCTATCCAAAACGCCTTAGATTGTTCCGGCTATAGTTAACATCTTAGTACTTAGCCAAGAATTGATTTGTGGAAGGAGTGAAACATTTTTATTGACTAGAAGGCAAACTTACAATTCATTCGGATTTTATATAGTCAATTAGTGTATAAATCAAACCTTTTTTTGTAACAAAGTTGATTCCGTAAAAGATATTATTTTTTGTCATCATCACGTCCAGGGGCGGATTTAGGGGGGGGGGGGGCGGACGCCCCCCCCCCCCCCCTCAGGGATTCGACCCCCTGCCGACCCAAAGGGTCCCCCTTTGATACTTTTTCAGAAATCCATTTTTGGCCGATCGACCCTAAAATTTTTTTAAAGGCGCCTTTGGCGCCAATATATACTAACTTTGAGGGGGAGCGCGCGCCAAAAAAACGCGATTTTTTTGTCAAAGTTTTTCAAAAATTGCCCAAAAACGGCTTTTTTGACTGTTTTTTCAAAAATTGGCGCAGAAAATTTAGCCAAAGTAGGGGCAAAACAGTGCTTTGGGAGAGCTCGAAAAATCAATTTGGTCGACCTAAAAAAAAAAAGGTCGTCAAAATTTTGGAAAATTTTTTGAAAATCCGCCCCCCCCCCCCTCGAGAAAATCCTAGATCCGCCCCTGATCACGTCTATCATCATTCGAAATTGGTCTAGAGAAATTTAAAAAAATTCTGAATGATTTCTTAGCATCCAGAAAATTTCTGAGCATCTAAGAAGTTTCTTTGGACTATGGTTGTCAGAATTTTGAGAAAGCGCTGGCAATAAGAGCTTTTTCAGCTTTCAATTGTATGTTTTATCAGTTTTAGCGGTATTTGTCCACCTAAAATTTATTTCTAAAAATTAAGTATCAAAAAATTTTTCAAACTTGCACAACATCCATGTCCTAGAATTTTGCGCGGCTCTGTGCGTAAATTCAATTCTGCTGCGATTATTGAAATTTATTCATTGTTATTTGCTTCAGATACTTAAACCAAAAAAATCATCGAAATTTTTAGAATATGATTTTCTTAATCTTTGAGCAAAGCTTAACTTTTGTAATTACTAAAACCAAAAAACCTATGTTTGCTCAAAATTAGCTGTCATTTGATAGCTTCTAAAAAACATCTATATTTTTTTCAGTTTACAGCTCATTGTTCCGACCATCATCAGAGAGTGGAAAGAAAGGAACTACGTATTGCTCATTTTGCTTATTGCTAAATTTGCTTAATTGCACCATTCGTAATGATTCAGATTCTTAAAAAACTAATAACGTCATCTAAAATTCAAGAAAATTTAATCTGAATACTTTCATTTGTCGAGAGGTTATTGAAATTCAGATTTATTTCTTCTAAAAATTTTGCACATTTTTTAGCGTTGTTTTAATTATTTTTTTTCCATTTTCTTTGCTTTTCACTCAATTTAATTGCAATTTCTGGAAACAAAAACAGGAACGTTAGACAACAAACTTGGCGACTTTTTTCAAGTTTTCTTTGTTTTTGATTTTTTTTTCAGTACAATTTGGTCGGAACATTCGGTGCTGCTTGTTAAGCAACCAGCTATCTTTGTTTCATTTTGATATTTTTGATATGTGAACATGAACGACAAAACCTCTATTGAAAACAAAGAATAAATCTAGCAATTACATCAGCTCGACATACTTTCGCAAATGTGTCTGTTATAAATTGATTTTGGTTTATAAACACTATCTTTCCATTCAAACACCAGCTGAGTTTGATAGAAATACAGCTCAGATGAGAATCAATTGGATAAAAAATTTTATAATTCACAAAAACTATGTTAACGCGCAAGTTTACTTTATATAATAAGAATTAGTTTAATAAGAATTAGTTTTAAGACTTTCATCAATTCATGCTAATTTATAGCATCTTCCAGCTTTGTATCAACGTTTGCATTTTCAATTTAGGTATTCTATTAAATATTTTGTGCTATCTTTTTCAAAGTCTGCTGTTTTGTCAAACTGATAGCTTCAACGATGATTATGATGACGGAATGAACTATTATACCATTCCGCGGATTACAAGAGGGTACGTTGTTTGAAAAGGGGATCGGCATATTAGCATGTGTGTCGATTAGCATGCCCCTTTAAATGAAACCAATGGACTCGATGGCTTTTTTTAGTTTTTACTTTTATTTGTTTTTTTTGAATAGCATGCACTCCGCTGAATATTTCAATAAAGTGAAAGTTGAATTTTAATTTTTTTAACAATTCAATTTTTTTTTCAAATTAATTGAAAATTAAAACTCTAGTTACCCAACTATTATCGCATGCTTATAGACGCACATGCTCGTCGCTCAAGCCCCGTTATTTTTATCATCACGTTGCGGATTCTGTTGGTTATGACGTTTGCAACTTCTCATGTTTTTAGCTTCGAATAGCGTATTTTGTAACCTTTCTAATTGTTTTCTCACCAAAAAGTGTTTTAAAAAGTTAGATATTGCAAAATTTAAGTGGAACTTTTGAAGGTTTCAGTAATTGTATAAGCATCTTGCTCGGGTCTCCGTCCCAATTCATTGTACCATGATTGTTTTGATAATTTCAATTCATTGTACAAAGATTGTTTTGATGATTGTTTGGAAAAAAAACTAGATTTTACTTTAAATTTTCCAATTCAGCAGTCGAGGCGTGGACCTTGAGCATGAGTTGAACTCTTTCAACCCCATGCGGCTAAACGGTCACAAGGGCGCCGGAGTTCATCCTCATGACGTCATGGACTGTCCCGGTCCCTCTAACCTTTTGTCCTCTAGAAGCATGAGCGAAGCAGACAGACGAAAGAGAGAAATAACTGCGCCTCATCCGCTCAGTCTGCCAAACGCGCTTTCGACTAGACGAACGTCGGTTCCTTTCAATGTGCCTAGACCTTCTGCACGTTCTAGATTCGATTCCCCGTCATCTCGCGAGTTTGTTTCACACGTCGTTGTTTGTGTAGACCATATTACAACATTTTTGTTTGGAGGCAATTCACATGGCAGAAGGATTGGCTAGCATATTCAGAACTATGATTGGCTACTATTAGTAGCGAGCGGATCTAGGGGATCGCGGGGATCGGACGCCTCTCCCCTTCAGGGATTCGTCCCTCGGCCGACCCAACGGGTCTCCCCCCTTTAAATTCTTTTAAGATACCGATTTTTGGCTGACTAACCATAAAATTTTTTTAAAGGCGCCTTGGGCTCCAATATTTACTTATTTTAAGGGGAAGCGTTTTTTCAAAAGTTTGCCTGTGGCTCGGAAAATTTGGCGAAAATAGGGTTTCTTTAGTGCTTTTGGAGAGCTCTGAAAATCAATTTAGTCAACCTATAAAAAAGTCGACAAAATTTTCGAAAATTTTTTGAAACCCCCTCCCTTGAGAAAATCTCAGATCCGCCGCTGGCTAATATAACTTTCGGCCATTCGGTCCTTCTGACATGAGGAATTCCTCCACGCTGCTTGCTTTGCGTCTCTTTCTGTCCCAAATAGTCGATAGTTCTCTAATCCGACTGAATTAGTTTGCGTCCCGTGGTTTAGCGTTGCTTCTGTGGTTGTGGCTTATATCATTGTATTGTTTGTATATGTGCTTTTTTTATCTTTTTCCTTTTATGCACCCGCATCATGGTGTCTCAAATGTTAGCAAAATGTCAAAAAAATATGATCAAAAGATTTCTCATAAAATGTTAGCAAAATGTCAAAAAATGTGACCGAAAGATTTCTCAAAAAAAGAACTCTTAATTTTTTCCATTGGAACCCTTGGAAACTAATTAATACCCGGGTCGAGGTGCTCACTTTATATTTTGACCGTCTCGACCAAAAATCGGTATACTGGTTATAATTAAAAAGTAATAAATGGTAATATAATAAAAGTACACCATCAGTATAAAAAGTGAATCAAAAACACAAGAAGAGTTTTCCCAAATCTGTAGACGTAGCACCTGAGTTGCGCACTTGATTTCAATCCTCCGGATCAATTTAACATCCTCCCCCCAAATAGACCAAGTTAAGATCCTCCACCCCAGCGTTCATTTTAATTTAAATTTATTTAGCGCTGCATGTAAAATGCTCGGTTCTGATTGGCTGAAAATTCGAACTCAGAACCAAGTTGACATCGACCCCCCTTAATGGATTGGGGGGGGGGGGGGGGGGGGGGGGGAGGATGTTAAGTTGGTCGGTCCAATTCTCCTGCTTGTTTGGCCTCCTCAATAGATTTTGTTGTTTTTTTATCACATGGACATTAAAAATTTTAATTGCGTTTGCTAAAAATGAGTTTGTTTCAGATACGGACACAGACGCGCCAATTCTAATATGTCAAATATTTCCAGGTAGGTCTCGGCTATTCTACTATCAATCCCCCCGCCCAAAAAACACCCCCCCCCCCCAAAAAAAAAAAAACAACCCCCCGAAGGTCCTCAGAATAATCTACATCCTAATTTAGTACCATCAATAATCATCCAAGTCGTTCGAACTTCGAAGAGCACCAGCTGGCTAGCATATTTATAATACAGTGTTCATGTAAAAACAGACGCGTTTAAAAGCATTCGGATCTTAATAGCAGCAAATGACTGCTATACAAAACGGCTACCAACCATTTTTAATGTGTGAAAATAAGAGTTCTGAGGCTGTTAATTTCTGATAGAACATTACAACCGTTTTATCACAAGATAATACCACTAGTTTCTCGAATAGAACTAAACATGTATGGCCAATTCAGTACTCGAATATTTACTATTTTATGGCTTCTTGATTTTCTAAAAATTGTTCAAATAATTGATAAAACCTGGTTCAATCTGGTACCGCTATAGTACCGGTATCTCAAAAAACCCAGAAGTTCTATTAGGCTCAATTGATATATCGAAATTGACTTGTGTCACAAGAACCAGCAAGCCCAAAATAATTCTCCTGCTCTAGAAAAATGCTGCCTCTTTTCTGCCTTAATAAAAATTTTAAGGAATCTTGCGTTTGTTACAAAAAACACTGCTACCATCGCTTTTCGAGAAAAATGTTTCAACTTGGTAGAAAGCAGATCACTTTCGGTACAGCAACACTGGCTGACCCGAACTCCCCTTTCAGATCTCCTCGGCCCCGAAGTCCCGGCGGAAACTCGGCTGTGGACGACGCCTGTTCTCACTTGTCCGAGTCAGATGCATGCATGCTAGATCACAAGGTAATTAAATTGCATTGGTTCTAAAATCCCCCCCCCCCAAATGCAGACCAGGATTTATTTCCTCTGTCTTGCAACGTATGGATCAAGATAACGTCCTCGTCGCCTCCCCTCCACTCCTGCCCTCCTAAATTTTCCGAAAAACTGCCACTGCTCTAGTTTAAAATCCGAGTGATATTTTCTTTCTGGTCTGTGCATAAGATACTTACTGCATTGCAATTGGCTCCTAAGAACGTGAGAAAAAAATGAACCCGAAAACTTTTTAAAATCTGCTCCCAAAATGTTTTAGGAGGGGTAACGTTAAATTGGTCGAAACCAGATAACACGATTACATAAATTTTGGATGCTCCTCATTAAGCATAGCATCCAGTAGAGAAAAAAATTGAACAGAAACCATGAATAACGTTGCAAATTTTTCCAGCTAAAGCGGTTGTTCCAACTGGATTTATCATCCCCTTGTTATTATAAGTTACACCAGGTTAGACCTTCGAAACTACTTTAGCAGCTATTAGAACTATTATAATCATTTTCACAATACTAATTTAGACTTCGAGTCTGATTTGGCAGCTATAAGAAATCATGTTCATAGTATTTTTGTATCTCTCCCTGTAGCTAGCTGGTATCGACTTAGCAAGACTCGATTTGAATTCGTCCATCGTTAGAGAGGAGAGAATGAGCGGGTACAACTCCCCCTCCCTCTCGACCGGCAGAGAAATGACTGCGTTCGAAAACCAGGTAAATTGGCTGGATCTCTTTAACTATTCCCTTCCCTCATTTTGCAAAGGGGGGGGGGAGAGATTTGTTACTTCGTTATTAGGTGCAAAATGCACATATGCTTCAACGTTAAATCAGTTCTTTATAGGGGGTGGGGTTAAACAAGAGGTAGCATTGGGGGGGGGGGGGGGTAGTTAAGAGATCCAATTGGGTAACACGAAAACCTGAAACACATCTCAATACTGGCAAACACTGATTTCATAATAACTGGGGTCAGTTTAGGGGGATCAATGATGCATAAGTTGAGTTCGTTTTAGATTTTTTTTCTGCTGATGTGCATTAATTTATGCTTCACGTTTTTACGTCACTAATTTTTGTGATTGTTTGTTATATTTCATTGCAATTTTATGTAAAGAACCGACTTTTGTATCAATCTCTTCATTTCAAATGAAAACTATTATAAAAACGGTGGTAGGTCACTAAATCAATATATCAGTAAGCCGAAAACTGGCGGACTAGGTCCTAAAACCGATCATGCATCAAACTCAGATTTATATAATATGTCATCTTTGTTTCGCCAAACAAAAACTGAAACAAAAATTATAATGAATTAACTATTGCCATAAGCCAAACAGAATTTAATTTATTCTTATAGCTCAGGAAATATCTCCGAATATGCAAATGAAAAAATATATATATTGCGTAATTTGGTTTGATCATCTGGTAAATTACTGATAACTTCGGCTTACTGAATGCACCACTGACAAACTGATCGAATGTAGACATTTAACACATGGTAATGGCCAGGGGCGGATTTAGGGGGGGGGCGGGGGGGCGGACGCCTCCTCCTCAGGGATTCGAACCACTGCCAACCCAAAGGGTCCCCCCTTTGATACTTTTTAAGAAATCCATTTTTGGCCAACCGACCCTAAAATTTTTCTAAAGGCGCCTTCGGCGCCAATATATACTAATTTTGAGGGGGAGCGCGCGCCAAAAAAACGCGTTTTTTTTTGTCAAAATTTTCCAAAAAGTGCCCAAAAACGGCTGTTTTGACCTGTTTTTTCAAAAAATTGCCTGCGGCGCAGAAAATTTGGCCAAAACAGGGTCTTTTTACTGCTTTGGGAGAGCTCGGAAAATCAATCTGATCGACCTAAAAAAAAAAAAGATCGTCAAAATTTTCGAAAATTTTTTGAAAATCCGCCCCCCCCTCGAGAAAATCCTAGATCCGCCCCTGGTAATGGCATTATGCAGAGTGCTCAGAAAATTCATCCATCCGTAAGTTTCGCATAAAGATACAGGGATCTGTTTTCAGTTTTTATTTCACTTTGAATGAGCTCGGAAGAGTATTGAATAAAGAGAAGAGGGTTTCTTGATAAATTGAGGTCTCGTATTGAATACATCTATTTTTGTATACTCTCATTCGGTATATTTTCGCTAATAAGGCTACATTAATTTTCTTTTTTTCCTTACGTTTTCGTACTTAATCGTACTAACAATTTCAAGTGAATCGTACTACAGTCACGCAACAAAAAAAGACGTCGCAAATTTTTATTTGCAATCGACGAAACAATCAAATTTTTCTTCAAATTTTTTGTCAACTTCTCTGGAAGGTTGAGATTCCTTACTGGAATTTTGCGATAATTTAGAGAAAATATTGTAAGCAATCCAGCGCGACCAAAAATGTTTTTTTTTCAAGGATTCAGTTTGGCCAATTAATCGGAGCTTACCAGAGAAGCGTTTTAGGTGCCAAAAAAGTCATCGTAAGCAGCATAAGGAGTTTGAACTCTTAAGACCTAAGACTGTTCCTTAGAAAAACAGGAATCATAGCTGAGCCCACTAAAAATTTCAAAAAATGATAAAACTGTTGGGAAAAGATTCTCTAGCAATTCATAAAATTATCAAGAAAAAAATTTTAAACTTAGTTATGTTTTGAAATTTTTTAGCTGCTCAAGTTTTTCAATTCCTTCATTGTAATGTATTGAGAGAAGTTTGTCTGCTGATCTAGCTGAGATTACTAGCTTTTCACCTCATTTAATATTTCTAAAAAAGCAAACTGCTTCCGCTTTTTGTAAGGATATTTTGGCACTAGAAAACTTCTCTGACAAGATTCGAATAAATTGCCATACGATATCTCGAAACCAACGTTCATTTTAAAAATTGCTCTATGTCTAAGTTTCCTTTTATCAATTATGTGTGATAGAAAGATCTCAACGAATTTATAAATAAGATATTTTCGACAATCATAGTGAAAGTGGCCGATTGTGAAACACTTTTTGCAGAAGGATGACAATAAAACTGAAAAAAGTCGTTGGAAAAAATTTAAGTTTTACTGGTTGCAGAATTTTTGTTGAATTTTTGAAGCTTTTTGTTTCTCAAAATTGCGCTAAAACTTCTCAACGGTTAACTTGGCTCGAGTAAAATTAAGTTTTTACAGCTTAAGTTAAGCTTGAATCATTCATTGTAAGCCTGCAAACTTTTTTTGTCAAACCCTTGTTAGCTCGAAATTAGACCAAAAAGCAAAAGTTTCAAACCGGTTTTTTCTCAACAGTGAGAAAATTTTTGAAAATCTTTTTAATTTCGTTTGAATCACGACTGAAACGAATGGTTTTAAAACGATATATAAATTGACACATTTCATTGATTTTTTGTGGTACCTGCTTTCGCGTGCGTAGAAAACAAAAAAAAAGAAAAAACTAAAACACACCTAAATGAAAAGTTCCTTCACAGTTTTCAAGTGGCCGAACAACAAAAATTTCCGGCTGCTGTGCAAGTACCACAGAAAAACCGAAGACAAGCTATATTTTTTCATTTTTATTCGTTTTTTGGTGAATTTTTTTGCGTTTTGTGAAAAGTGTTAATAAATTTTAAATTAGAGCATTATTCATGGCTTCCAAAGCTTAAAATTATTTTTTAGAAGGATTAACGGTAGAAACTAAAGTTTACTAAATCTTCATTTCTTTTTTTGTTTTATTAAAAAATTTCGAATTTTGGCGCCAAGAAAGCGCTTAATGAAGCTTCCATACAAGTCTTTTCAGATCTAAAAACAGGATATTTCTCACTTAACCTAACATATTTGCACTCCATTCGCTAGCTTTACATGCTATAAATTGGACCAAAAAAGTTTTAGGCGGGCTTTTTTGTTTCTTAGATTTAATATTATTACACCGATCGAGAATAAAATCCGAATTAAAATCCGAGGCTTACAAACCAAATAAAAGTTCTTCCCACTGCGAAACCGGAGAGGAGAGAAAATTGTTAAGTAGATCTAGTTTAGGACCCTTCAACCTTCCCTCGCATAAAAAATGATAACTATTTCACAAAAAATTGAAAAAAAAATTGAAACCATTTTTTTTGCTAAGATATCTGCGGCCGGATCCTTCTCGGCTACATCTGTTTTTCTTTTTTTTCTGATTTAAAACTTTAGGAGACACAAAGAATTCTTGGATTATAACTGTCGACAAAAGTGACTCGTTCAATTACCTGATTATTGCTCTTAGTAACTCGTTCAGACGAACCTGGATGTAGAATTGGGACCTTGATAACACTTCCCCATTACAATAGAGGGGATTCGTAACGAGGTACTAAATTCGTATATGCTTAACTGAACAATTCTCTCTTTATAGGGGGGAAATTCGTTTCAAGGTTCCATAGGGGGGGAATAGTTAACAATATCCTAGATTTGTATTTTGAAAAGCGTTCAAAATGGTTTCCAAATGCAATTTAATGGAAGCGACGCATTTTGTCTCCATTTAATTTTGTTGTCCTGGCGAACCCAGGATATACTATATCTTCATTACGTGCAAGTCCTTCATTATCAAGTAATGAAATCGCTGTTGAAAGGGTTTTTTTCGCAGCAAAAAAATGGGAAGCCATTCCAATTAATCAGACTGTTTTTCCATACGTTTTCGCAAAGTAAAACTGCGGTAACACTATACCTCAATTAAAATAGCGAATGTTTGTTTATTATTACGTTCTTTTTGTATATATCAGTTAGGTACTCAAGCAGTTTATCGAAACACATTCAAATCATTCGAAACTTGATAATTATTTTCAAATTATGACCTATTGTCAAACATAACCAAATCATTGCATTATACTTATAATATTTGCATCTGCCGTGCCCTAGCGAATTGATGCCACAACTATTTGGAACCGTAAATAAGCCTACACAATTGCATTGCTTTACAAAATAATTCATGACCTCTTAATGAAGTCTAGATTTTACTGAAATGCGAGATTTCCCCTTTGCTATGAATTACTCCTCGAACGACGATAGTTCCGATAATTCATTTAATTTATCGCCATTTTTACCAACTACTGATTCAGACGGGAACAACAAAATAAGTAGCTTTGAGGGTGAAATTTCTCTGCCCGTGATCAAAAAAAGACACACGTCTATTTATAGAAAATCTGATCACGATGCAGTCAGAAATCTGAGGCGTAGTGTTCACTCCTATTTCCAGGAACCTTGGCCTTCAAAGAAAAGTCACAGCTCAGCACTCTTTTTTATTTAAAAATACCCTCCCGAAAGCCTTTAAACAAGCAAAAACTAACTCTTAAAACGAAAAAGAAAATTAAAAAAATTAAAACAAAATCATAACAAAATGGCTTCAATATTTGCAATCTTATCTCCATCTACCCAATTTTTTAATAATTCCTACTTTTGCGTGAAAAAACTCCAAAATTCCAACTTCTTAATTTTCAGTCGCCGGAACGATGAAAGGATAGGTTTATTGATTTAAAACCTAAATGCTTTTGTAATGGTTAATTGTCTCACCTTTTGGTAAAATGCTTGTAAAATTTATTTTGGCTGAGGGAAAACAGACCATCTTGTAAACATTTCACCTTTCTTCCTTGAGCGGTGGCTTCTAAATGTCTATTTTAATGAGAACTTCAACGGATAGCATCGTGCGAATATATTTCGCCCGGTCAGTCGGACGATGAATCACACAACCCGCATCGTCATAACTACAATAACCAGTTCAGGGCTAAATTCAAGCGGACAAAACTCCTTTTCATTCTTTGCAACACCTTCTAGGTATCGTGGCCAGACAATAATAGTTAGGTCCATACAAAGCGAGCGACGTTATTTAATAGAACATTGTTTTTTTATCTGGTATACGAATATTTGAAGTATACTAATCATCTCAAATTCCGATGGTGAACCGAAGCAGTACTTAATCTTATATTACAAAATTATATGCTTTTGATCAAATGATACTGTCTCAAAATTACTGATAAGTTTCTTAAGAAGGACTTCGTAGCTGCATTTTTCAGGCGCATTTATACAAATTTAGATGAGTTTTTTTGTTAACGTCTGCTTGAATTTCGCCCGTGTTTAAGTTCAAGGTTGCATAACAGAAGGACTAGTTCATGTGACGATATTAAAGGTGATTGTGAACACGAGAAATTCTGTAAGGCCACAATTTTTACTTCTCAGATCCGATCTCTGCAGCAGCAGTTGGAGAATTATGTCTCAGGCAGGGCGGAGAGCGAGGCAGTCCAACTCAAGCTGCGAGAGGACAAAAACAACTTCCAAAATAGGTACGTGGTGAAGTGGTTACGTCTCCGCCTCTAAATCGCAAGATCGGATGTTCGAGGCCCACCATGATCCGTGCTTGTTGCTTGAGGGTGAAGCAACATTACCCAGCTCAGAAAATTACCAAAAAAAATTGCATGTAGTTCTTTAACAGGGGCTCAACAGCTGTTCGCCGTGATGAGCTGTTCAGCTCTTGTGTTGGTCCTTTCCTTCGTGGATAAATGGTCGTAATCTTACGTGCACAGAATGTTAGCTAGCATGTTTTGAATTTTGGGGTACATTCGGGTTACCAAAACTGAAAACTAGAGCAATAAAATTAAACAAGGCCAACAAAATACAGTGCACCATTGCGTGAACTAACTTTTTCGAGGCTATGACTCTATACAATCGATTATCAAATAAATCTGGATTAAAGTATTTTTTATAGTTATTTTTTTGGTGAAAGTATTCAGCTCAGTCGACGAGTTGCAAGTTAAAATTTAAAATCAAACCCATGATTCCAAGATTTTGGAGGTGTATTTTTTATTTAACGTTTACATACTTTATTGGACAATTGTTGTGGAGCTTCCATAGAAAATTTCGAATGGTTATCTTGTACTTTGTTATTTGTAGAAGGAACTTGTCAAAAACTAGTAGAGATCTTACAAGATAACCCACTAGGAGTTCGACTAGGTTTGTTTCCTGTCAATTTTCACTACATCAAAAAAACTCGTAAAAGTTAAAGGTAGTCATAATTTTGTGTATAAAAAATTTGAAGATTTTAAAATATTTGAAATTTGTTATGCGTAAGTTAAAGACCACACGCCTGAAAAAAATTCATTTGTGTCTAATGACGATCTACCAAATTGGTAGAATACGTACAACTGATGAAAGTTATATATATTGCCAACTAGTAAAAATTCGCAGGCGGGGAGAGGGAGGAGGAGGAATAGAGCTGACATGTTTTGGAAATAATTTATTATGATTTTCATGATTAGTACTTTCCTTTGTCGTGTTGAGTGCAGATCCCTGATGCTTGAAGAGCAGTTGTCGGAGGTGAAGCGGAGCCACGAGGATGAAGTGCGACACCTGAAGATGAGTCATCGCGAGGAGCGACAGGCTCTCGAGAGGGACAGCCGTGAGAAGGTGGAACAACTTAGAGAACAGTGAGTGGAGTAGAATATATCATCATTACGTCATCATTCATCATTATGTCATTACATCATTAGCATCACTACGTCATCACCCATCATTATGTCATTACGTCTTATCATCATTACCTCATCACCATCATTAAGTGTTAATGAACGAAGTGAACACTTCTTGGAAAAATATTCAAAAAAAAAATCAATATTTTTATTCGGTTTCTTTGAGGTTATTGACACGTTTCTGACTACCTATTGGCTCTGATTTATAGAGTTCCAGTATCCAAATTTAGATACGTTTTCCCAACTTTGAAAAAACTACGGCGATTTAGAGCGGCCAAAAAGTGACAAGAGCGTGAAGATTGCGCAGCTGCAGTCGCTTAAAAAACCTTCACATTTCCGTTACAGCTGTCGATGATTACTGGGTCCTTTTCGGGTGAAACTTACTCGATTTCTTTGCTTTCAGGATGCGTGAGTTGGAGCATAGCAGTCAAGAGAACAAGGCACAAGTACCGAGGCTGACTGGCCAGCTGGAACTACTCAAAGAGGACAAGCAGAAGTTGGAGGACAAGGTGGACGCCAGAGATCATAGCATCAGCCAGCTGGAGGTCAAGTTAGCCAGACTAGAAGAGGAAAAGGAGCGGATAGAGGAGGCACTACATGCTAAACTCACTAATCTACAACAGGTCAGTGGCAACTTTGTTCGTTGAAGTCAAAAATTTCCGAGTAATTAGTGCTGAAATAATTTATCTGACAAACGAACATAAATTGAAATTTAATCGCGATTTCATCAAATGCGATTGACTTTGAAAAGAAAAATGAAGAAAAAAGTTGCTTAAAATTTGCAACAGTTGATGTGCTGCAAGTGGTTGTAGAAAAATCGAATCCAATACTTGACTTTAAAAATGGATCATTTTAGTTTATTCAACACAGACTTGAAACTGTATTTCGCAAACACCAGAAAAAATGAGAACTCCAAATTGTGGAATAAATAATTAAGTAGAAGAGCTTCAAAAAAAAGAAATTACACCAAAGTGATTTGAACCCCTGACCTCCATAGTTACAGTCTAATACCATCAAAACTGTTCCATGCCACCTAGCTGACTTACGAACGCCAGCCACAGGAAAAAATTATTAAATTCAAGCTATTACATAGTCAAATATAATTAGAGTAGTGAAATAGTCTTAGTTGAGCTCTTGAACTACTTGAAATCTTGTTGAGCACTAAATTATGCGAGTTAGGTTCCACAATTGTATTCGTAATATATAACACAAACGTTTGCTTGTAGAAAAATCAGACTGATTAACTCAGTAATTTTTTGAATAATAACAAAATGAGCGTTCTATTAAGAAAAGTTTCAAAAATTTTTTGAAGCAAGTTGTATAGTGAAACCGGGTTGCTTAGTTTATTACACAAAAACATGTGACTTCAGGGGCAGATTTAGGGGGCGGGGGTTGGCGGACGCCCTCCCCCCTCTGGGATTCGAACCCCTACCGATCCGAAAGGGTCCCCCTTTGTACTATTTTGAGATATCCATTTTTGGTGACGGACCCTAAAATTTTTCTAAAGGCGCCAATATATACTAATTTTGAGGTGAGTGCGCGCAGAAAAAATGCAATTTTTTGGTCAAATTTTTCCAAATGTGCTTAAAAACGCCTTTTTTGGCCAATTTTTTCAAAGTTTTGCCTGCGGCGCAGAAAATTAGGCCAAAACAGGGACTTTTTAGTGCTCTGGGAGATCTCAAAATCAATTTAGTCGAGAAAAAAAAATTCGACAAAAATTACGAACATTTTTGAAAATCTGCCCCCCCCCCCGCCTTTCGAGAAAATCCAAGATCCGCCCCTGTGTGACTTTATAGAAAATTCAAATTTCGCTCCTTTTATCTATTTTATTCAAAAATTAATCAGGTAGTGTTTGTGACCTTTTTTAATTAATAAGCCGGGCCAAAAAAAAGACCTTCTAGGGTAAAATAAGTGAAATACCAGTTTTATTCTGACGAGATTCTAAGCAAGTTATGTCTTCAACGCTTTTTTTCCAAGCTCAACCCAAAATGGCAAAATAATTTTAGGACTTTGGTCTTTTTGAACAAATAGTTTGAATCAGCAATGTAGCCGCAGTGTGAACGTGTCAAAGAAATAGATTGCTCGAAATTGGAAAAAGGATTATTTTCAGTTAGTTGCAAATTCGACAAAAAATGTTTCATTTTATTTTTATGAATATGGTCGCAATTTTCTGCGGTACTTGCACAGCGGCTGAATACTCTTGTTATTGTTTCGATCATGTTTTTTTTTGTTTGGTACTTAATTTTTGAAAACAAATTTTGTCAATCATGCCTAATTCACTAATTCTTTACGCAATCGTATAATTCTTGAAACACACCACCCATATTTAAAAAAATTTTTTTTTTGATTGACATTTATTTTTTGAAAACAAATTTTGTCGATCATGCCTAATTCACTAATTCTTTACGCAATCGTATAGTTCTCGAAACATAGCACCCATTTAAAAAAAAATTTTGTAAGGTATTCATTTTTGAAAACAAATTTGTCGATCATGCCTAATTCACTAATTCTTTACGCAATCGTATAGTTCTCGAAACACGCCACCCAAATTTTTTTTTTATTTTTAAACTTTTTTGTTTGGTATTTATTTAAAAAAAAATGTCGATCATGCCTAATTCACCAAGTATTTCCGCAATCATATAGTTCTCGAAACACCACCAAATAAAAACGCCACTAATTTGATTAAAATCTTTAAAAAATAATAATTTTTAATGAATATCGTCGAACATTGTGCTACTTGAACAGCAACCGACTATCCTTGTTTCTGTATTTATAAGGGCAATTAAAAATTTTTTTGCGATGGCTGATCAATTTGTGCAGAAGAGCCGTCTTTAATTTTGGCGGTGAATTAGTGAATAACGTCCAACAAGTGTTCCAATCTTAGGTCAAAAATAATTTCTAGTCAAAATAATTTATAGTCTAGGGAATTTATAGTGTTTTATTCTTTCAAAACAATGCTTTATACAGATTTTATTACATTTCAAAAACGATCATCAGGTTTGGAGCAGATTTCAAAAATTGGCCGAACACTTTCTTTTGCATCATAAGACTATGGTCTTTCACTGATAATAGACAGACCTACATTTGAGGTCTTAAATAATAACTGTCTTTATTTTTTTCACTCTTATCAGGGCTAGGGAGGGAGGTCTCAAAAAATTGACAAAAAAATCCATGAACTATCATCTGCATTCAATTAGGTACGGAAAAAAGTCTGATTTATGAGTTGAATTTTTAAATTCTCTTTATTTTTGTGAATCATTAAATTGAATTTTACACCAGGAGCACAGACAGCTGCAACAGGAATACGAAGCCAAAATCCTGAGTAGATCTCCGAGTAGACAGGGGAACTTCACTGTGAAAGCGGGGGGCAGCTTCACTCACGATCAGGAGGGGGGAGACCAGGACGCCAAAGTTACAGAAATGATACACAAGTGCAATCTACTACGAAATGTAAGCAACTCTAACACAACTATTAAGTGGCATTAAATGTCACTGGGGAATACGTGACAATTATCAAAGTAGGCTATTTAATAAGCGATGTTGCACTTCGCATTCAAAAGCACAACAAGACTGGCAAACACTGCTCGTCAAAAAAATACCGCTCGAAAAAAAATCACAGCTGAAATGTTTTTTTTTTAAGTTTTAAGCTCAATGCATTAATATCATTCAGATTTTTAAAAAAATTTAATAAAAATGCTTAATTAAGTCAAGATTGAACTAAAGAAAAAAATATATTTCTTGGAAAGTCAAAACAAAGCAGCGGTCAAACTTTTTGCTGATCGTCACCACAGCTGAATGATTTTCAAGAAAAACCAATGGTCTTTCTTTACATTTACATCAAATTTTCGGCTCTTTTCCAGTCCCCCCTTTGGTTTTTTCTGAAAAAAATGAATGAAAGTTTCAAATATAAAAGTCTATTTAAAACTACTTTTCTTGTTATAAATTGCATCAAAACGTGTCAGCGTGAAAAGATGAACAAATATTTAGAAAACTTTTTACATGCAAAAAGTCATGTAAGAAACAATTTTTGAACAGCTTAATTTTGCAACTTAACGAGGGGGGTGGGAAGCTGGAAAAAAGAGCCAAATTATTTTCTTCATTACAGGAAAATTCCAAGCTAATTGAGAAGATCCACGAACTGGAGTCCAGTTACCGATACCTCGAGTCTCGCAAGACCCTCTGCGACAACTGCCGACTACCTCTTTCTGGCCGAGCGTCAGTAGATGCTGCTGTCCTGAGCGACCAGAGCAAGCACCGCGACACCACCGGCGGATCCCTCGAATCTCTGGAAGATGTCTTACCCCTGGATCCCGAGTCTAGTAACTCCCCTCTGCCGACGTGCACTCGAACTCCACCCCCGCACTCCACGGCACATCAGCCGACGACTAGTCAGGGGGCACCTAGGTCTCTTGCTGCTGAGTTAGCCCAAGTGATGAACAGACCGAGAGAGATTGATTTGAGTAAAGTTGTGAAAGATGCACTTGAGCAGAACAAGTCATACGAAACGGTAAGCCTATTAAATTATCCCCAGCCTATTAAAAAGCATATAGCCCTCCACAAAAGTAGAAAACAGACAACATAAGTAAAACCTATTTGAAACAAAATATGAACCTATGTTTAGATATGCTTTGAGCTGAAGCAGCAAGAACAAATAAACGATGACCTCCAGAACTACCTCAGCCGTCTATTGCTGCTAATAATGGAGTCCAACCCAGAAATTCTGGAAGTCAAATGAAGAATCCGGAATAAAATCGAGCGCAGCTTTAAATCCATTTATTTCCCTTTTTGAAACATATCCAGTTGAATGTATCCAAACCATAAGTTGAATTATTCTACTGCTTAGCTTAAAATGAACATATCTCTATTTAGACCCTTGTTTTAGTTGACTTGACGGGTCAAATTTATATAAAATATATTTTGCGACTGAAAATTTTTCACGTACTGGCTTACTCTTCTAATTACCAGCGAGAAGGGCGTTTAACAGTGTCGAGGAACAGAAGTGTTGGGATCTTTTTACTAATTTCCGCTTAAAATAACTAAATAAGCTTCAGTTATTATTGAACAATTTGTTCAAACTGTGATTCCTCGATTTATTTATTTTCAACCAAGAAGATCTGAGCTTTTTAAGCAGTATTTCTATAAATTTCGATTTGATGATTTGGGCGGAATACGTAAAAAGACCCCAGTGGCAAAACTAAAACAGTGTTCAACATTTCGGAAAATGGATGATTTTTGGCACTGTCGAACAACGATTTAATTTCGGAACTGTGATAAATATTTCGTGGTACAGCAAAAATAACCACCAGTCGCGCCAGCGTGCTGTGAGCTTGCCAACAGTGGATAGGACAGCCGGATACTAGAGCGGGAAATCACCGCGAAGGAGCGAGGCGCACCCAAGGTCGAACTTAAACCGGAGATGACCGATTTATTAGTCTTTGGTTTAGTGCTTCGGCGCTAATGAACACTTGATTTTCGGCACTGTTGTACTGTCTCACAGAGAGATGCGCTAAGAGTAATCGAATATTCACTCAATTATTCCGGTACCAAAATCGGGTTATGATTACGTCGTGAAGTTCCGTTGCTGACGTCGCTTAGCCTGTTGAAGTATATTATGTCTGCAAACATCTCGATGCAAATGATATTCAAAACAAAAAAACTGAACTAAAAAAGTAAAACATGAACATTAAAATCAATAAAATTTCAAAGCTGAAAAAATACTTTCCATGTATGCCAATTTTTTATCTTCCATCAAAAAATTTAGGACCATCTATTTTTGAAAAAATAGCTATGAAATAAGTTTTCATATGCCAAACACAACGGGCAGCAAAACTAATTATTAGGAACCATGCAAAAAAATCCGTTTGCGAGACAAAAACGCGATTAACCTACGCTCAGACTTTATCAAGAAAACCATGACTTCGGCAAGCACTTCAATATTTTCAATGTTAAATAAAAGCTATAATAATTACTCAGCACTGAGAGAAAATACACTTCGCAAATACGAAAACGTCAATTTTAAAACATAGCCAACAGACAGTTGGAAAAAAGTAAAAGAACGCAAGTTAACAGAAAAGACATACTGGATTTTTTTTGAAAAAAAAACTCAATTTTGGAGTTTCGAAGAAAAAAAGATGGCCTTAAAGATATTCGAATTTCTGGAACAACTTTTGATTGTCGAAATTTGGGTTGATTCTACAAAAAAGTGTCAAATGGATCAATAGGTTAATTTTATATTAGTTTGAAAAATCTGAAAAAAATAAGTAGATCAAATTTGAACGTTGAAAAATCACACAGACCTATACTAGAGTTTTCACTACGTCCATTTGCCTTCTCGTTATTGAAGAGCATAATTTGCCTTCGTTTCAGCAAATGAATCTAACATTGATTTGAATTCTTAGCTACCTTCATGGAAACCAAAGAATATGGCCAGCAGACAGTTGGAAAAAAGTAAAAGAACGCAAATTAACAGAAAAAACATTCTGGATTTTTTTTGAAAAAAAAACTCAATTTTGGAGTTTCGAAGAAAAAAAGATGGCCTTAAAGATATTCGAATTTCTGGAACAACTTTTGATTGTCGAAATTTGGGTTGATTCTACAAAAAAGTGTCAAATGGATCAATAGGTTAATTTTATATTAGTTTGAAAAATCTGAAAAAAATAAGTAGATCAAATTTGAACGTTGAAAAATCACACAGACCTATACTAGAGTTTTCACTACGTCCATTTGCCTTCTCGTTATTGAAGAGCATAATTTGCCTTCGTTTCAGCAAATGAATCTAACATTGATTTGAATTCTTAGCTACCTTCATGGAAACCAAAGAATATGGCCAGCAGACAGTTGGAAAAAAGTAAAAGAACGCAAGTTAACAGAAAAAACATACTGGATTTTTTTTGAAAAAAAACTCAATTTTGGAGTTTCGAAGAAAAAAAAGATGACCTTAAAGATATTCGAATTTCTGGAACAACTTTTGATTGTCGAAATTTGGGTTGATTCTACAAAAAAGTGTCAAATGGATCAATAGGTTAATTTTATATTAGTTTGAAAAATCTGAAAAAAATAAGTAGATCAAATTTGAACGTTGAAAAATCACACAGACCTATACTAGAGTTTTCACTACGTCCATTTGCCTTCTCGTTATTGAAGAGCATAATTTGCCTTCGTTTCAGCAAATGAATCTAACATTGATTTGAATTCTTAGCTACCTTCATGGAAACCAAAGAATATGGCCAGCAGACAGTTGGAAAAAAGTAAAAGAACGCAAATTAACAGAAAAAACATACTGGATTTTTTTTGAAAAAAAAAACTCAATTTTGGAGTTTCGAAGAAAAAAAGATGGCCTTAAAGATATTCGAATTTCTGGAACAACTTTTGATTGTCGAAATTTGGGTTGATTCTACAAAAAAGTGTCAAATGGATCAATAGGTTAATTTTATATTAGTTTGAAAAATCTGAAAAAAATAAGTAGATCAAATTTGAACGTTGAAAAATCACACAGACCTATACTAGAGTTTTCACTACGTCCATTTGCCTTCTCGTTATTGAAGAGCATAATTTGCCTTCGTTTCAGCAAATGAATCTAACATTGATTTGAATTCTTAGCTACCTTCATGGAAACCAAAGAATATGGCCAGCAGACAGTTGGAAAAAAGTAAAAGAACGCAAGTTAACAGAAAAAACATACTGGATTTTTTTTGAAAAAAAACTCAATTTTGGAGTTTCGAAGAAAAAAAAGATGACCTTAAAGATATTCGAATTTCTGGAACAACTTTTGATTGTCGAAATTTGGGTTGATTCTAGAAAAAAGTGTCAAATGGATCAATAGGTTAATTTTATATTAGTTTGAAAAATCTGAAAAAAATAAGTAGATCAAATTTGAACGTTGAAAAATCACACAGACCTATACTAAGAGTTTTCACTACGTCCATTTGCCTTCTCGTTATTGAAGAGCATAATTTGCCTTCGTTTCAGCAAATGAATCTAACATTGATTTGAATTCTTAGCTACCTTCATGGAAACCAAAGAATATGGCCAGCAGACAGTTTGAAAAGTCTGAATGTCACAAGGAGACAGAAAAATAATTTTTATTTTTGATTTTGAAAAAATAGATCATCTTCAGGCTCTTTCAATTTCAAAAAAATTTAATGATTGACTAACGTAAAATAAATTAACTTTCAATAGCAACCTTCATTTGTATTTTAACGCGTTGTTTCTGATTTCTTAGTTGGAGAGCGTAATTTGAGTTCAAAATCACTCCATAAATTAAACTCCCGTATTAATAACGCATTAATACGAACAAATAGTTTTTTAATAAGATCAAATAGCACTCAATTTGGAGAGCTTTCTGTTTGATATTGATTTGTCGCTTACGATACATGTTACAAAAAAACTACAAAACAGCCCTCATAAATTATCGCGAGTTGGTCCAATAAGCAATTTTCATACTTTTATAAATTGACAAAAAAAATCATATTTGAATCACTATTTTTCAAGTTCCAGGCCAGGGCATAATTAGATTTCAGATATTGTAGAAAATATAAAATCCTCTTTTATTATCCTTTGCTTCGCGAAACTTAGCACCAGATCATACGCATCAACATCAGCAAAACTGAACCCAGGACTTGAACAAAAAAAAATAGCGAATGATAACAAAAAAGTGATATTTGGCGTATAGGAAGCGTTATCTTGGTTAATAATTTAACGTAAGCTGCATTAATCAAGAAAATTAGACCGGATTAGATTTCCAAGTAAAGTAAAGCTGAATTTCGTTATTTGTGTGCTGCTCTGCTCATCTGTTTCATCACTGGTAATTTATCAACTTTATTATTGGCTGGTTGCAGAAAATCAAAAGCATATTGAGCAATTTTCAAAACTTAAGACTCGTCCGACCCTAAAACTGGCTGGTGTTTGAAAGACACGTGATACAAAATTCAGAGGATAAAATACACGTGGATGAAACACATCAGCAGAGCAGTACACAAATACGGAAACCAAGAACTGCTATATAATTAAATTTTAAACTCAGAGGCAAAGCTGCGCTTCGCAAACACTTGCGAGAACACGACCAAAAAGCAGCTCTATCAAGTGAAATAAAAAAAAAGCAGAAATAAGCCTCGAATTAGCAAAAACACTGCTATGTGTAGGATTTGAATCTGCGACCTACTGCAATCAAGAGATTTTGAGTCTCACGCACAATCACTTAGCCATGCAAGCTTAACAATCGACAAACACTAGTCACGAATAAAACAGCTACATATGCTTACAAATTGCCAATGAATCTCAGCAAAAGTTGTACCAAATACAAACAGACTCAATTTTGCAAGTAATAATTTGGAATATAACAAGCTGAAGACATCCAAACTAACTTTGCTTGTAACAAATCGCAAAGCACAAAGCCACATTATGTATAAATAATTTCAAAAAATTACGAGATAAATTGAGTCAGAAAATTTATGAAATCCAGTTTTCATGATTGTTATGTTGTTTGAAACAAATCACTTTTTTCGGTTCATTTGATGAATGAAAACTGCATTAACTGTGTTAACTTATTAGTATTCGAATGTCAAAGCACATGCTATCAACAAGCTGTAAGGGTGCCCCAAAAGTGGCACCAATATTTGCGACTTAGGTTTGAAAAAATAGAAGGTTCGTACTAATACACCGCTTCGCAAATTTTAACATGATAATTTGGTCTATATCAAGACTTCCGACCTTATTAAAAAGAGTCTAAACAGCCACAAATTCATACCAATTTTAGGCACGTTTTTCATTTGATCATTTTTGTGGAATCTCATTCCCACTTTCTGGGGCTTTATTATGATACCACACATACGAGCTGTCCTTGCGATACTAAAATAGGTCGGAAAACAAGTAACTTAGTGACTTACCACTTCTTTTTATCTTAAAACAGATTAAGATAGT